CAGTGCTCTGAAGAGGACAACAGAGTCTCCTGCTTATCCTGGTGTCACTAGGGGAACACCTATGTGCTTACTGTGTGAGCAGGGGAGGCCTAACTAGGTGCTCTCTGACAACACAGCACAGTATGTCCTGTAAAGGAATGGAAACAAATGTCAGGTTTGATGATTGCCAGCATTCATGCACTTGAAAAGTTAGTACTGAATTGAAATACATGGGTTTGTGGTCTTGCACTGTACTTGCACTGTAGCCACATATGAATGCATCAGAAGATTTGAGAAGAGTCGGGGTTCAGAAAATCACTCTTCCAGTTCTCTCTGCTAGCTGAGCTTAATGGAAACAGCCTTTCCAAGAGACAGTTTATACATGGACAATCTGCTTAGTGTGGTCTGTATTAGAATCAGTCATTTGAAGATGCAGAAGGAAAAACCATCCAATACATAATTTTTTTTATGCAAGCAGAATCAAAGAGTAAAGGGCACTTCACCATTACAGAAGCATTGTCTCATAGTACTGGACTGGTTTGCTATAGTCAATCCTTAAACAATAAGGATTTTATGTGGCAGAGTAGCAGCACTGTTATCTAAAATACTAAAGACTACTAAATTTCTTCCCTGGGTCCTCTTAGAAATTTGTGTAATGCTTCCATAATCTGCTGCAGTACAGTTCTGTGCCCATGCCCTTTGATGGCTTCCTGCTTTCCTTCCACATGTGGAATAAACACAGGGTACCTACACTGCTTTCAAATAAAGAGAGGGCAGGAAAAAAGTTTCTTGCAGAAAATATTAATTTTATCCTTTTGTCTAACCTGACTACACTGCATACTTACTATACATGAGCAGCATCACTCTGGGGAGCTGGTTTCAGTCATGGCTCAGAAATGAGTGCTCTGGCCTGCTCAAGTTGTGCTGTTTCATTGATTTGCTCCATAAAGGTGAATCACCATTTCCAACTGCTGCCCAAGAGAGGAAGTCTTGTCACCAATAAAGCTCAAAGTCTGAACCACAAAGGTCCTACCCAGAATCTGAACTGAGAATGGAAGTCCTCTGCTCCACCATGAGTGGAAAATAAATAACACACTCAAATCTTTTCTGAAATTGAGACATGACTTTGCCCAGTTCTTACAGGGCTGATACCTGCTCCTATGTCTCATTCTTTTTACTTTGAATTACACTTTTTATTAAAAAAGAAATAAACCTACTTAAAACTTGCTCCAAACTGTAAGTAGAATTAAGGTAAAAGGCTGACATTCTCACATAGCCCACTGCACTAACAGAACTACAGCACAGTGACTTTGGCTCACTCACACACAGCAAGGCGTAGCATGGGAAACACGGCTGCAGGGACAGAGCCAGAACATAAACACAGGAAAGGAGGACCCTGTTGAGCAGCGGGTGACCTCCAAAAGCACTGTGTACCCTTTGCCTCGAAGCCCTGGTACGTCCCCACAGGTTGCTGTTTTAGTTCACAATGAAGGTGAACAGTAGAAACAAAGGATAGGACTGACAGGCTTTAAAACTCTCCCTGAAAAATGTTCACTTGCTCACCAGGAGCCTGTCTAGGAACTGGACCTCCCCTCCGTGCCTCTTAAGGAGGTTATAAACAGCAAAGTTCTGACTTCTGAGCAACAGAAGACCCAAATCCTCAGTGTTTTCAGGGAAAAAAGAAAGGTGTGGATGATGCATAATGAAGACATTTGATTTCATTAAGTCTCTTTCCCTTGGTTTTTATCTATAGAAATAAGTATGTGTAACTGGTGAAATTATAGACAATATGTAAAATGCTGTATCTAACAATGCATTCTTGTAAGTAGTTCTGCTGCAAACAGCTACTGAACTGCACTGGATTATCTAAAACACAAGCTAATCCACAGCAAGTATCTAATTAAAAAGGAACCACTGCAGAATTATGGGAATTTACTACCATTAGCTTTGCTGTCTTCCATACTGTGTTCCCTTCACAGTCTGAACTCTTCATAGAATTTTTCCCTTTCAGACTGCAAGGGAATAAAAGCTGCATGCTTTTATTATTTTATGAATGTAAACAATAAAAGCTGCTTTTTTGGGTGAAGATGCTCTCAAGCTAGCTCTGTGAGAGCCAACCTTGGACCCAAAGGGCTCAGAACAGTATGGAGACCTGCCTTCAAATCAGTACAGTTCATATACTGCTGCTCTAGGGCCCAATTTGTCTATTGCAACACTGCATTGCTGTAACGGTTGAACTGCTCTGGACAGTGCTAGTCAGGACGTAGTTTACATTGCTCTACTATACAGCATCAACAAGCCCTTAAGTATTTGGACTGGGGTGCAGGTTCCTGGCATTAACTCTGGGTTTTGTCTATAAATAACCTTTCAGCAGCAGGAACTAATGCAGTTCTCAAACCACATGTATCACTGGCAAACCTGGTACAGCTTAGTGTGTAGTCAAGATCTAAATAGCAACCTAATTTAAATCACATTATGCCATTTTTTGTGGTTATTGAAATTCAAAGTACACTGATTTTAGTAGAGTGGCTGAGAAACTACAGTAGTTCAATTTGTTGTCTTCCATTTTAAAGCTGTCTAAAGGCAAAAAACCCCTTGATGAACCTGTTCACCACAGTGGCTGTAATGAATCCTGATCGATGAAAGAAACAACAATCAATTGTCTGGGAAATGTTGCCTGAATATAAATATTTTCTCCATTCTTTAAGGCTGAGCAAAACTTTTCCCTTGCAAGTTTGCTAATTTTTACATACAGATTACAGCAAATAAGCAGCATCTGCAGAATTTATAGGGATAAGATGATTATATGATTACATGGGCTGCAACCAAACACTATGCTTTACTACTTCCATGGGCCTCTCCTTTGTGGTGATATTGCCATCCCATATCTTCTACATTTACAGCCTTTAAAGAAGTGGCTCTTCCCTCTACAGCTCCCAGTGGAGTTTTCAAAACTTTGAGAATTTAGTTTCAGTAGGGAACTATGACTTGTGTTAATGTGCTTTTGCAGCAAACATGCCCTAAATGCTTGGAGTACGGAACAATTTCAGAGGGAACGTATTTAATTCCTTCTCAATTTTTATGAGGCAAAAGGAAATAAGAATTGAATGAAGGTTTAAATGGAAGCGACAGTTAATTGAAATTTTACCTTTGAAAAGTGTTCATAGATCAAGCATCAGATTTTTTTTTATTTAGGAAAAAAATTAGGTAATAAAGCAAAATGCAAATAAGTCCCCGTAGAGCGATAAACACCACCCCTATGAAAATGTCTTTGTCACAAAAAAACACAGTTGGCATTTCCCCATCACAGTAAGTCAGTGCTTCTCTTCTGCTTGTAATAAAATTATATTCCAATTTGCCTACAAATTTCTTCATTTTATTATAGGCAAGAGGCTGCACATTTCCTAGTGGAAGCTGTTTGCCTGATTTTGGGAACAACTCCATTAAATGTTTCCATAAGATGTATGAGTGTAAAGCCCCCTCCTTCTGGCTCTCCTATGACATTTGATTACCATACGTCCCTTTAAAGAAATGGCAAGATCAAACCAATACTATACAAATTCATCTGATTCATGTGAATTTATGGTGATCTCCTCCCCTAAATTAAGCAAAATGACATTCTAAACTGGAAGTAGTTCTGACAGGAGTGTTTAAAAGTGAGGTAAGTTCTGATTTTGTATGCATATGAAGCTTAAAACCATTCTGCTTTGTTCAGGTACTTCAGGAAATCTTCCAGACCGAAGATACAATCATGTTATTGGAGAGATCCATAAAGGCAAAGGAGTATCCACTGAAAGTGGCTCAGACCCGCCTGGAAGGACGAACCAAACGACCCAACATAGAACTCTGCCATGATGCACCTCAGTTTCAGTAAGTAAAGGCCAAACTACCCTCTCCCTTCCTTCACCAGCCACTCAAGAACAGGAAATTTAACAACAGTATGAATGAATCAGATGAGATTAGACTTGCATTCATTATATCATGATACAAATTCTGGGAGGAAGAAGTAAAATCCAAGTAGCTACACTGAAATAGTAGGCCAAAACATCTAATGTTCAATGTGTTTAGTTGCCTTAACTGTCCTGGGAGAAGGACTCTAAAGAGCTCAATTGCTTGCTGGTGACCGGTGTCTTTTGGGATTCAGTCTCATATCCAAATTGGGATTTAGGAATTGGTTTTAATCCCATTCTGTATGAAACACAATATTTCACTTTAGGAAATACCAAATTTTAGAAACATGTTATCCCAGACAAATGTCTTTAAATGCAAAAAACCCTCTCAAACCTATCTAATAGTCAAGTTCTTTAAAAAGTTAATTGCAAATAAGCATGAGGCAATTACTGCCTTAACTAATTTTCAGCTCTGTAGTGACTCCAGTATCATCTTGGTGCAGGTTAGCTCATTTGAAATACATTTTGGTTATATAGCTGTGGGGGCTTCCCAGCACATGTTGGCATCAGTTTGGTGACCCCTGTGTTGTGATCCACTGTATAGCGTGTACTGTGTCTTCCTGGATATCGAAGATGATGTCTGAGATACTAGCCTTCCTTCCCTAAAGACTGAATTTTAATCCCACTTATCTTTCTCCAATCCAGTTGGAACACAACAGTGTTCCAAAAAAGTGTATCTTATTTAAAATTCTGTCTTCCAAATACTCTGTGAGGGGAGTTTCTCAAGAAATACTGTTCCTCCCATAGCTGGAGGGAGTTTCACAGTCCAGTGAAAAGAATTCTGTATACTTTTATGAAAAGTAGCAAGCTATTCCCTTTTTATTTTTGCCTCCAGCAAAATTCTGCTGTATACAAGAGCTTCACTTACAAGGAGATTAATGAAGTACATAATGCTTAAACTGAGGATTTATATTATTTTTCCTAAACAATGTTTTGTCAGCTCAAAAAGCTTCTATTTAAACAAGGAAGTGGCAATCAATCATGGTTTATTGCACTGGTATTTTTCCAATTTTTCTAACTCCTTAAACCATAAAATGTACAATGCAATATACCTTTTTTTCCATCTTATACTTCTTTAATTGGATCCCAACCTTTCCTTTGGCATATCCATATATTAGATTTCTTCAACTTCATCCTCTGCTCTCCACATCCATTCTGTCAAAAAATATCATTTTGGATCTGAATTTTTTATATCCATTTGGGGAGTTTTATTCATGTGGCTTTTCATTACACATAAATCATGTCTGTTCTAGATGCAGGAGTTCAGCTGTTATAAACCGTAAAAACCAGTGATTACACAGTAGCATTCACTTAGCAGTTACATTTACTACAGGAGCAGATCATTTCCCACTTCAGTCACCGTCACACCATCAATTAAGTAAGCAAATAAACTACTATCAGCATTTTATTAAAAAAACAACCCCACACAAACCCCAAGATGGCCTTAAATACTAATACATAACTCCAGCTTTATACTCACTCTGAGGCTTGTTCTCTCCTTCCTCCCTGAAAATCTCTTCCAGAGAAATGCCTGTAGCTTTATGATTGATACCGGTCTGGTCAGCAGGATCACATGTATCCAAGATATAAAACTTGTTTGATTTAGGATCAAAAATGCAGTGCACAAAATGCACATTGTCCCTTCTTCATCCCACAATTGCGAGGGATGCTGTTGATGCTCCAAAGGGTCCTGTCTAGAAAAGTCTGGAAGCTCTATTTCAAATCACTGGAACATCTTTGAATATTTTCTTTAGAGTGAGAGGACATTAACATGACATACTTAAAACCAAGTAGTACATAGGGGTTCAGAATCAATCTAACATAACCTAAAAGCTAGTAGGAGTAAGAGCTTCACAAGTTGTTGTACAGCTACTTGGGAGTATTTTAGGCTTAACATACGCACAAGTGTTCTGTCAATCTAATATGACTTCTGATAGGTTAACCAAAATATTTATACAAATACACTGTTGGCTAGATGCAGGTATAGTGACAGAAAATTAGCATAACCTATTCTCCTTTCTCCAATGCAAATGAATTTTGCTCTACCCAGCTCCCTGATCCAGAGCAGGTTATGCTAGATGCTTTAGCTGATCCAAATCAGTGGATATTATATTCATCATAGCTGCAATTACAAACAGAAATTCTGACAGGGTATTTAAAATTTGGGCACTTTTTTTCTACCACAGTTATTGGGTGAGCTCATATCTCAAAATGTATTTTCCCAGAGACAAAATGCTATCTGAGAAAGAAAAAACATTTCCTAATTTCACTTTTTAAGGATTTTTTGCTTTTAAATGATGTTATATGTATTTCTCTTATGTGGTCTAAAGCAAGAAGGAATTCAGTCCAATAGCTCAACTGTAATAGGGAAAGAAAATATCAAATGAACCACTTCTTTGTAACATGTAAATGTTATCTAAGTTTGCTGTTTATTTAAAAGGAAGTGCTGATGTTGGCACATGTTCTCTGTGTGTGCTGCCAACTTTGTAGTTGAAGGGATTAGACACAAATAAATTAATAAAGCCTAGTTTTTCTGTGCTGAAACAACTGGGACTGTCCCAAAACAGGTTAAAGTGGATTCTGGAAAATTCAATCTTTCTTATTTCTATAGTGCACTAAGCAATTAACATAACATGAGACAAAACACAAAGCTGACAGTATTAAAGAGTTTACCAGCTCGGGGACTATCCAAGACAATTTGCCATATCTCCAGTGATAAGCCACTGGAAGAAATGTGGTTACTATCATCTCACAGAAAATCTTGATTTCAGAGCCCTACATTCAATGGTTATTCTGGCAAGTGACTCTTGTTCCAGTTAACATCCTTCAGTGCCAAATCTAGACCGCTCAGCACATTCTGATGCACAGATTCAAGCTAGCATGAGCTACATCAGCACTCTGCAGTAACATCCATCCCAAATATACTTCTACAGGACCACATCTAATTGCTCAACACAGCTGTGCTAGCCCTAGAAAGGCTATACAAATGAGAGGCTGCAAGTGAAGGAGATAGATAGCAATTAGAAAGAAATACCAAATCAGAGCAGCTTATTCTGCTATTAAAGGGCAAGGCAAGCAAGAAATCATCATTTACACGTGCTATGCAAGCTAGTTGGGCAAATAAGTTTCATATTGATTCAGTCCAAGGCAGCTGTTTAAATCCATCCTAAAAGCATGACCTGTCCACTGTCAAAAAAGTAATGCACTGAGGTTATGCAAGCAACCTGTCCCTTTCTCTTTTATCAGGCTTGTGACTGAAATTTATACTATAGATGACACCATACGGACCTTAAAGCAACGTCTGCAAGAAGCTCGTGATACTCTGCACATGCTGATGGTCAACAAATCAAACCTGGAACATGACATTGCTGTGAAAGCAAACTCCCTCTACATTGACAAGAAGTGCATGGACATGCGCAAAAGTCTTCCCCAGCACCCCACGACTCATTGGTTACACTTGAGTTGTAACCTTTAATAACATAAAAGTTGCAAAGGTGCAAATATTTCCTGAAGAAAATCATTAGTATTCTGTTTTCTCAAGTAATAAAGCCCAGTAGAAACAAACTTCTTAAAATTAATATCAGGCCTCTTTCCTTTGACCAACCTCATAATCTCAGCTGTAGCTGTTACTTATTCAAACAGAATTAGTAGACTTATTTTAACAGAATCAGACCACATGAAAATAAGCAGACAGATATGGCAAGGTATGTGAGTTACTAGCTAGAGATAACGTTAGACTGAAATATAGTATTTCAACAGAATTAGTACAACACAGGAGTTAATTGTTCAGGGTAATGTGCTGTCTGTGTTTCAGTCCTTGTCTGGAAAAGTCCAAATGCTACCCCATCCTTACACTCTCCTCCTGTCTAGTAATGATAGATTTGGAGTTTGGAGTTAGAGGAGGTTAGACAAACTTGATTCACAGAAGCTGATGGGCAATTTGAGTGTAATCACTCCAGGTACACATATAGCCTGTATTCAACTGAGAGGGAATCTTTCTATCTCTACATCTTCCTTTTTCTTTCTTTTTTTTTTTCTCCTTTTTCATTTGTTTCTTTGTGCCATCAATTATGAAGTGTGTATTTGTCTGTTTATATGAATTATTTGTTACTGATGTGATATTTGCCCAAGTCTGAAAGGTCTTAGAAATCTGTAGTATCTTATCATTAAATTTTGAAGGATTTCATGAGCAAAGACAGTACCATTGCTCTATTGTGGCTAAGGAGAAAGCTAAGACAAAACAGGAATGGAACAACACAGCAACATGATGTGCTTAAAGTCCTTCAGTCTGTAAGTCAAGACTGCTCAGCTTTCTAGTTCTTAATGGAGCACTACTCTGTGCGGTGGGGAAAAGGATGGAATGGGCTTTGAAGATCTGACCTCTGTGGCTGACAGTTGAAACACATTAACAGTACAGTAGTCCTAGCAAAGGATTTGGGACAGAACTAGTTTTAACTAATGGTAAAGCAGTCTGACTGCTTTGGACAAAATGGAGAAGAAATGTTTCACTGTTATTTCTGTTCCTTCCTGAAGCTGCTCATGCTTGTTTGCAGAGTAACCAGCAAACTACAACGCTAATAACTGTTTCCCGCTACCTCAGGCTCCTCTCTACAGGGCAGCTCTAGGAACACACCAAATGCATTTTACACTGGACCAAAGCCAAATCTGAAACAATGCTAGGTTTGAAAGTCTCCTGCATAAACTGGCTCTGGTCTGTACCCTTTGTTTTGTGTGGGTGGTGGCTTAATCTAGCTACCATCAAAAGTAATGCTGCTGAGGGAGGCTGGGCTGAGCAGCACCCATACTGCCCTGTGAGCTAAGCTCAGTTCTTGCTGAGCCTGGCTGTGGCTGAGCCACATGACACTCAGGTTCTTTCCTTCAGATAGTACTGAACCACACATTACATCCTTCTAAAGATTTAAAATCATGGGAAACCATTTGGGAACACAGGATTGGGAAGTGACACCTACGCCTACTTCTGACACTCATTAAACCCATCTCACACCAACTACACTGCATCTTGATTTTCTAAATGAGGATAAACTGTAGTCATGTTGCACATGACTATGGAGAGGGCAGGCTGCTCCATCCAGTAAGCTAATCATAGAATCATAATAGTCATAATAATGCCAAATAGTGGCTTTTGGGGAGGATTTTTCCAAATATAGGGAAAGGTATAGAAGTAATTTGGTTTTGTATGGCAATGTAGGACTGCAGAGCAGTTCAAGGGGTCCTGGTGGTGTGCTGCTGGAGACAGAGCTCTGTTACTGAAGACTTCTGGTAATCTGGTTTGAACTAATAGTCGTACCTTGCTGCTTCTTACTCAAACACTTCACAGCAAATTTCTACCATGAAACCCTGCCTTTGGACATGACTTTAGGTGGGAGGAGTGGGGAGTCTCACGTTTTTGTGTCCCAGCAGGGAAGACTGCTACCACTGGTAACATTTTCTTCCCTCTCTATGCCTTTGTATGGAAGCAAGGGAGATTTTATCGTTTGCTTCTGTTACTACTGAACCTAGGCTAAAGCACTTGATTTGCATTTCATATGCTATTTTTACAATGTATGAATAATATTTGTGTTGAGCTGTTAAATATTGACAGTAGTCCACCCTGTTTATCAAATACTGACAGCCAACCAAGCAAAGGAGTAAAAATTATTTGGAAATTTGAATCTTCTTGAAGCCTTTAAATATCTTTCTAGAAGTTGGATGCTTTCCCAGTTCACACAGCTACTCTAATAGCTAGGAATAGTTTTTGTGCCAAGAACTCAATAAAAGAAATATAGAGCAGAATAAAGGCACTTCTGAGAGAGCTGAATTCTTTTGACAGATCTTGACAGGAGAAAATGAAAAAAAAAATGTCTGAAAACAACATCAATGAGAAGTCAGCCTGAATCAAAGCCCTGAATGTGAAAATTTGGGGGATTTGGGACAGAGATGGTGGCACTGAACAATAGTTCTGAACATCTTAATATCCAGCTCCTTCCTGACTGTGCCTTCGTTCAGCAATGCTCTCTCCAAGACCTCAGCTCTGCTTTTGGGTGGAGTGCTCACTTGGTACACTATCAGTGCAAACAACACTGAACTTGTTTGAACACCGTGTGAACTCCTGCTGAGAATGACTGCCTGAAAATCATGGATCTGTGACAGTTAGTACTGTTCTTTGAGAGCACCATTTTCCATGAGAACAGTAATTCCCTAAGATTCAGCTACCATCAGCAAGAATAAATTCTTACTGAGTACTGCAAAAATAACAATACTTACAAAAATCATCTTCCCTAATTATAACTGACCAGAAGATGCCAAGTACATTATCGTAGTGAAAAAAATCTCAGTGAAGAAAGTGCTCTTATCTTTAAGTGGTATCCATACATTTCCACACTTCAGTTTGCTGATGGTGTACATCCTCTTTTAAAAAACATAGTTTTCTTTAGGCTATCAAAAAGGAGAAAACTTCCACAGACTTAGGCTATAAATCTATATAGATTAAAAAATGCTAGAAATAAGGTACCATTTGCTTCTTAGAAGTCAAGGTAGGTGAATAATGCAGAAAACTTGGATCCTAGTCTTGCTTTGCCACTTATTTACTGTGTAAGTGTATTTAGACTCAGCCTCCAGAATGCAGTTAATCCCAGTTGTGATGGGAATATGTCAAAGGAAAGAGATTTCTAACAATTGCAAAGATACTCACCCAGACAAATCTGAGGATCTCTTAAAAAAACCCAGGCCAACAGAATGCAAACATTCTGTCAGCTTTTTTCCATAGATCTCTCTTCATATAAACTAGATCATTAATTACAGTACTCGCACGCAGCCACAGACATCAAGAAGCCAGATCTATTGTATTTCCATGTATAAACCCAGAAATTTAACGTGCAGCTCCACAATACTTGAAAGATAAGATCTGTTTCATAGCAAATAGACTAATGCAAAAAAGACCAAAACCTGTCCTTGCCTGTTTCAAACAATGAGATAATTTTAGTTCCAGACAAGCTATTTCCTAACATTATCTAAAGTATAGCTCATAAAAGTTTATGGACTCAACCTCCAAAGAGAGTAAGAAAACAATGGATCTAAGTACCTTCACCAATGATAATCCCAGTCCAGTGCCACAAGGGCACTGATTATAGTGAAGGTAGCTTATTTTACCCAAATCTATTGGTAGTTTATTCATCCTTTTTAATTTAAACTCACAGCAAAGAAGCAGGATTGGTCACGTACAGATTAAATGCCTTGCCACACAGAATTTACAGATGGAATAACCAGTTAATATATGGGATGGTGCTCATATGACAAGTCTTTTCACAATAGCTACTCACCTGGGTAAGACCTGGCATATGCTTTCAGCACAGGATATTATGGTGTGAATAACAGGAGACAAGGAATATTAGCTATGGAGACAAGAGTGCTGAGTTTGGGAATCTGTATTTAGATTTCATAACATGTCTATTTTAAATTTAGAAAGCGGATAGCATGGGAGATGCCTCTCGACACCTTCCCAGTGGTGCATTTTAGCATTTCCATTTTTACAAGAAGTCAGTTCTGTATTTGCTTACAGCACATGCAGGCCTACTGATGTAGAAAGAAATCCCAAATCCAGTGAAGAGTACATGCCAACAGGTTGGTAAGAAGCTACTTTCTTGGTAACAGTATGCACCAATTTAGATCTTTGCAATATTCTGTCTGAAGATATAGAGTCAAACCTTCAGGTCTCCACTCTGCAGCTGCTTCAGCAGCACTGATCTCACAGAATCATGGAACAGTTGATGTTGGAAGGGACCTCTGGAGATCATCTAGTCCACAGACCTCTTGCTCAGGGAAAAGTCAGCCAGAGCACATTGCTCAGTGCCACGTCTAGTCAGGTTTTGCCTGTTACTAAGGATAGAGACTCCACAACCCCTTTGAGTAGCATGTTCCAGTGTTTGATTAACACTCATGGGAGAACAATGTTTCTTCTCAAGTTTAAATAGAATTTCCTGTATTTTTACTTGATCCTCCTTTAGTCTTCCTTGCTCCAGGCTGGTCTCAAGCAGCTGGAATTTCTGAGGATGTATCTTGCCAGCAAAGACCGAGGGTGAAGAAAGGATTGAGTATCTTAGCCTTTGCCATACCAAGTCCCCTGCCCCACTCATCCAGTGGGCCCACATTTTCTTTCATCTTCCTCACCGATACACACGTAAAATGCCCTTCTTGTACATCTTCATGTCCCTTGTGGGATTTTGGCTTTCCTAACCACCCCC